AAGAACATATGATGTTGGATTTCTATTGCTGAATTACTTCACTTGGAATAATGGTCTCCAATCCCATCCAGGTTGCTGCAAATGCCATTACAAAATTCCACTTTTTTTTCCTGTTCCCCAAGATGAGCACAGTCTTTTCTAGTCTATTTCTGTCTTTCTCTGGGTCTGTCTCTTATACTTCTTTCATTTTCTCTGAGTCTTCAAAGATAATTGGTAGCGGCTCCCTTTCACAACTTCCAGTTTCTTTATGACTCTGAGATGCATTTATTCTCTTCTGCAATCTTATACCTATTTTCAGCAGCAAGCCTCCCTATTTGGCATCAGATGTCTCAATATTGGGCCCTTCCCCGGCAATCTGCCTTTCACCTTGTGGCTGGTGCAACCTTCTAGATCCCAAAGCTGATGTGTCATTCAACAGCTTGAAATTTACCAATGGCTCCTTATGGCCCTTGAGTAAACCCTTAAGCACTTAGCTTGGCATATAAGTCTGTCCACAGTCTACCATGCCAGCCCATGCAGCTTTATCTCCCAGCGTGCCCTGTGTCATGCTTACCCTTCAGTAGGGCGGAATGGCCGGCAGTTCCCTAAAGGGACCATGCTGTCTCCTGCCTCTTGCCTCTGCTTATTTTCCTACCATCACTCCTGAATCTCGTCCAGGGCAGCTCCTCCCTCCTTCCTGAAATGTTATCTCAGGAGTCACTTTTTGAAGACGCTTTGCTAATTGACATTCTCCCTCCTCCAAGTTCCTATCGCACCTGTCCCGTATTAGCCTCCACTGGGACACTGAACCCATCGGGTAGTTTCTAGTTTGAGGATTATTTTGGATGGTGCTGCTCTGAACTTCCTGGTGCATGCCCACGGGGCATGTAGCTCTGTGGCATATATCTGGGGCCGGGAGCATGCCAAAGCTGGATGCTGAAGCTGAGCTTTTGTAGGGACTGCTAGAGGATCTTCCTTTCGGAACGTTGTCGCACCGGCGCACATTCCCCGCAGCAGCTGTGAGGGTTCGTGTGATTTCATATCCTCACAACAGTGTTGTTCACCTGTTTCATTTTGGCCCTTCTGCTGGGCGTGTAGTGGCACTGCCCCATGGCAGGAATGTGCGTTTCCTTTCTGACTGATGAATCGGAGCCCCTTTCCACGTTTAGTGGCCATTGGGACACCCCCTACTGCGACGTCTATTCAAGCCTATTGTCCAGCTTTCTATTGGGTTGTCTTTTTCACATTTTTCTGTTTCTCCTGCCACATCGTGTAGTGACCTATCAGAAGTCCACCCTCCGCCTGCCCATGAGCTCTGTGAGATTTCTGGACCCCCAGTGAAATCCCTCAAATCGTAGACCCTCAATACATGTTTTCTGCTGACTAAATATACCATCTCTGATTCATGCTTTTCAGTGGGTTAACCATTCTCCTTACAACGGTAAAGCCTTAGCTCCTACTTACAAGTGGAGGAAAAGATGGAGGCAACATACAAGTGGATTTCGGCTTTCTTTCACAAATCTATCACGCCTGCTTTCTCCTGGTTTGGGCTCTGAAAATAGCTGTATGGGCCCTTTCTTATGTATGCTGCATTTTTCTTAAGGCTTGCTTTCATGAGAGACTCTCTCTCTCTGTCATATCGTTCTTACTTGGGGACCTCAATTCCATCTTGACGTATGTCCCAGGAAGTCACACTGGCTCCCCTTCACATTTCTCCCTCTTTTCTCCCTTGTGACACTCTCTGACTTGCCTTCAGAGCTTAATTTTCCATTTTCTTTCCCCGTTTTTTTGTTTGTTTGTTTGTTTGTTTGTTTGTTTTTGAGACGGAGTTTCGCTCTTGTTACCCAGGCTGGAGTGCAATGGCGCGATCTCGGCTCACCGCAACCTCTGCCTCCTGGGTTCAGGCAATTCTCCTGCCTCAGCCTCCCTGGTAGCTGGGATTACAGGCACGCGCCACCATGCCCAGCTAATTTTTTGTATTTTTAGCAGAGACGGGGTTTCACCATGTTGACCAGGATGGTCTCAATCTCTTGACCTTGTGATCCACCTGCCTTGGCCTCCCAAAGGGCTGGGATTACAGGCTTGAGCCACCGCGCCCGGCCCTCTTTCCCTGTTAAGCCACCCTCTGTGACTTTCAGCCTCTTGTTGTTGTTGTTGTTTTTTAAATAGTCTAGATGTGCAAGGAAACAATCCCCAGCCTCCGGGATAGCTGCTTTCATAAAGCATCTGCCTATGCCTAGCATTTTCTTCCATGATGACTACAAACCCTGAAGTCATAGGTCCTTTTTCCCCCATTTTTCTCTCACTTCTATTTTACAAAGCTGTCATTGTTCTTGGTGAGAACTAAAGGCAGGAGATAGGATGGTAATCTCTCTCATCACTAACTTCAGCTTCCAACAGATTAGGTGACCAGGGGAGCAGGGGTTCATCTGGAAGCCCAGCTCTAACCTAACGAGCCATCCAGCTGCTATCCAGGCAAAGATCCTGCCAGCTCTAGACCTTGGCTCTGGGTTCAGTTTTTGATGCATGTGAGAAAAGCCACCTCCGTATCTCAGTCAGGCAGGGTGTGTGATCCCACGTGCTTCTTTCTCATCTTTCTTCAAATCTCTTAATCATTTACTCATTCATTCATTCAGCAAATATGTGCCAGGCATTCAGCTGGGCCCTCATGGAGCCCAGCTGAATGGGGCTGGGAGTGAGAGAAAGATAATGAGCACAATACAAAAGGGAAATGTATCCTGTGTCCATTGGTGAGAGGGACGTGGGGAAAAGTAAGGTGGGAAGCAGCAGAGATGGGCTTGTCAGGAGTCGTCCTTGAGAACAGAAGACGAGAAAGAAGTGAGGGAGTGAGCCAGGCAGATACTGAGGAGGAGAGGAGCCCCCAGGCAGAGAGAAAGGCAGGCGCGAAGGTCCCGAGGCCGGAGTGGGCTGCTGTGCTGCTGTGGTCATGTGAGTCCTCAGAACATGGCAGCGCACATGCTGGCATATGGGCAGCTCGGCACATGAAGTGAAGGACAGTGTGTAGTTATCGTTGCATCTACCACAGCATCCAGCAAAGCTTCTTGTGGTCATATGCACTTGGTAAGAAAGGTTTTTATCTGAGTGAATACACTTAGGTCAGACAGCCTCTGAGGGCCCCTCTGCCTCTGAACTGCTGTGATAATCTTAGGTGCCTGGTGGATGGCACTGTCCCCTAGTAGCTGTCTTAGGTGCCTGGTGGATGGCACTCTCTCCTAGTAGCTGTCTTAGGTTCCTGGTGGATGGCACTGTCCCCTAGCAGCTGTCTTAGGTTCCTGGTGGATGACACTCTCTCCTAGTAGCTGTCTTAGGTTCCTGGTGGATGGCACTGTCCCCTAGTAGCTGTCTTAGGTGCCTGGTGGATGGCACTCTCTCCTAGTAGCTGTCTTAGGTGCCTGGTGGATGGCACTCTCTCCTAGTAGCTGTCTTAGGTGCCTGGTGGATGGCACTCTCTCCTAGTAGCTGTCTTAGGTGCCTGGTGGATGGCACTCTCTCCTAGTAACTGTCTTAGGTTCCTGGTGGATGGCACTGTCCTCTAGCAGTTTACTTGGCTGCTGGTGGATGGTGCCATCTTCTAGTAGTTTTCTTAGCGCCTGGCGGATGCCACATAGTATTTTTCTTTCAGTAGTTTTCTTTCTAGCTTTTTCATCTGGACTTTTCTCAGCACATGGTCCCGTGGCTTCTGGGCATGTGACCTGTCTTGGTAAGGGGGTGGCCCTCACACCAGATGTGTGTGTTCCAGATGCTATTGCTGTGTAACTAACTACCCCAAAATGCAGTGATATAAGATTGCGACCATTTTATTATGGATTCTGTGGGCCAGGAATTTGGGCTGGGGACAATAGAGATGACTCATCTGTCTTCAGTGATATCTGGGGTCTCAGCTGGGAAGACCAAACAGCTGGTAACTGAAACTAAATGAGAATGCTTACAAGGGGCCTCTCTCTGTGGCTTGGGCTTCCTTACATCATGGCAATCTCCAGATGGCTAGTCTAATTTCTTACTCTATGGCTCAGCACTCCGAGTTCAAATCTTCTAGCAAACAAGACAGTAGCTCCATTGCCTTTAGTGACCTAGCCTTGGAAGCCACATAGCATCACTTCCACTGTAATCTATTGATTGTAGCAGTCACAAGCCCACCCAACTTTAAGGGGATAGAAATAGATTTCACCTCTTGATGGAGAAGTGGCAAGGCTGTGACGTAAAGAAGTTGTGGGATGGGAGACATTGTTGGGACCATCTTTGGGACATAAAATTTTTTTCTTTTGAGGTGGAGTCTCACTCTGTCACCAGGCTGGAATGCAGTCGTGTGATCTCGGCTCACTGCAACCCCTGCCTCCTGGGTTCAAGTGATTCTCCTGCCTCAGCCCCTGAGCAGCTGGGACTACAGTGCACGCCACCATGCCTGGCTAATTTTTGTGTTTTTAGTAGAGACAGCGTTTCAGCATATTGGCCAATATGGTCACGATCTCTTGACCTCATGATCCGCCCTCCTCAGCCTCCCAAATGGCTGGGATTACAGGTATGAGCCACTACACCTGGCCTGGGAAATAAAATCTTATGAGTACTTTTTATTTTTCTGGGGAGGAGTTCTCATTTTTATGTTGTCTCTGGACTACGGTGGATTTGAGATGTCTGCTCTGCCTCCGGTCTGGCAGAAACTCCCAGTGTAAGGTGGTTGCTGTGATGACCAGACCTGCTCTTCTGTGTGCTGCTAGGAGTGCTGTCCCAGGCTCTCTCTGGGTCACCAGTGAAGCTTCCCTTATGAATAAGGAGTAGCCAAGGGGCCAGGAGGAGGGAATACAGCCCTGAGACCAGTTTCTCATGCCCTGAAGCATGTGAGTATATGTGCGGCTGGGGTGGGAGGCAGACCTATCGATTGTTAGGGAAGAATCTTTTGGAGCTGGTATCAATCAAACGCCCCACCCTAGTGGCTGGTTTCCTGGCATCTCTCCTGGGCCTTAGCTGTGCCTCCTGAGTGTGTGTGGGAAGCCAGGGCCTGCTTAGGAGTGAGTGTTCCTGCAGCTGGTGAGAACCCAGAGCACTGCTTCGAAGTGGGATGAGGGGCCGAGCCAGGGTTTGGCTAGAAGCCCACCACAGCCGAAACAGTGAGTAAGGTTTGCCGGCTCCCTGGACTGCTCCATAGCAGGGCTTCCTGGACCCCCAGGGACCAGGATCTTCCCGGAGAGGAAGAGCCTCTCCCACACCTGACTTTCTCAAGTGTATTCATTCGCTGGGGACTTGCTGGACATTCATCCGCTAACCTCAGCAGGAAATTGCAGAACATAAGAACGTTAAGTGTCGGCTATTTTTCCCCAGTCACATGTCTCAGTGCCTAGGTGTAGATCCCTGGATATAGTTACCTGTGTGCTGCTATCACAAAGCTCCTGGCCCAGGATGGCTAGATAGAGGAGGGTCCCAGGAATTGAGAAGGCTGAGGAACTCTCCAGCTCCCTGTCCTGGTACTTCTCTTAGGATCACCCATGTTCCTGCCCCAGCCAGGTACCTTTGAACCCGAAGACAGGTCTGGAGGGTAAGGATGGATGTAGGAGTGGTCTCATGTACCCGTTTCACCAGAGACTGTGTTCCCACTCTTTGTTCCCCAGGGAAGGAAAAACTCAACCTCATCATTCTGGAATAAAATCATGGAATGCTAACCCCTGAAGGAACTTTATTCATACATTAATTCATCTTGCCCTCTTTGTAGAGGATGTGCCTCTGATGATGGGCACACAGCAGGTGCTTAGTGATTGTGTTCCCTCTTTGAGAAATCAGCGCAATGCAGCATTCTACCATGAAGACACATGCACGCATATGTTCACTGCAGCGCTATTCACAATAGCAAAGACATGAAATCAACCTAAATGCCCATCAACAGTAGACTGGATAAAGGACATGTGGTACATATACACCACTGAATATTATGCAGCCACAAAAAAGAACAAGATCATGTCCTTTGCAGGAACGTGGATGGAACTATTATTCTCAGCATAAGAGATAATGTAATAGAACAACAGGATGGCTATTATCCTCAGCAAGCTAATGCAGGAACAGAAAAAATACATGCTCTCACTTGTAAGTGGGAACTAAATGATGAGAATCATGGACACAAAGAGAGGAACAGCAGACACTGAGGCTTACTTGAGAATGGAGGGTGGGAAAAGGGAGAGGATCAGAAAAAAATAACTATTACTATCTGAGTGATAAAGGAATCTCTACAACAAACCCCCATGACATGAGTTTACCATAACAAAACTGCACCTGTACCCCCACACCTAGAATAAAAGTTCAAAAAAAAAAAGACTGTATTCCCTAGAGAGCAGCAGACGCTGTTTCAGAATTATTGTCAATTTCCTAGGTGTGCTCAGGTTGGAAGGTTGGAGAATGTCTTTTTTCTTAAGAGATGTGTGTTCAAGTATTAGATTGAACCCCACGAAATTGCTAATATCTTCTCATGTTTAATATGATTCAATCAAGGCCAGGCATGGTGGCTCACACCTATAATCCCAGCATTTTGGGAGGCCAAGGCAGGAGGATTGCTTGAGGCCAGGAGTTTGAGACCAGTCTGGGCAATGTATGAGACTCCATCTCTGTAAAATAAAATAAAATAAAAATTAGCCAGGCTTTGTAGTGCACACCTATAGTCCCAGCTACTCAGGAGGCTGAGGTGGGAGGATCGCTTGAGCCTGGAAGTTCAAGGCTGCAGTGGGCTGTGATTGTGTCATTGCACTCCAGCCTGGGCAACAGAGCAAGACGTGTCTTTTGACCAAAAAAAAAAAAAAAAAAAAAAATTTAGTCTGATGTTTAGGAGTGATGTGCCATAATGTCCACAGCCTACAATTCACTTTCAAATGTTTTAGCAAAGTGTGTGTGTGTGTGTGTGTGTGTATGTGTGTCTGTGTGTATATGTGTATGTGTGTGTCTGTGTATGTATATGTGTGTGTCTGTGTATATGTGTATGTGTGTGTATATGTGTATGTGTGTATGTGTATGTATGTATATGTGTATGTATGTGTGTATATGTGTGTGTATGTGTGTGTGTATATGTGTATGTGTGTATGTGTATGTATGTATATGTGTATATGTGTGTGTATGTGTGTGTATATGTGTGTATATGTGTGTATGTGTGTGTGTATATGTATGTATGTGTATGTGTGTGTGTATATGTGTATGTGTATATGTGTGTGTGTATATGTGTATGTGTGTATGTGTATGTATGTATATGTGTATGTGTGTGTATATGTGTGTATGTGTATGTGTGTGTGTATATGTGTATGTGTGTGTATATGTGTATGTGTGTGTCTGTGTATATGTGTATGTGTGTGTATATGTGTATGTGTGTATGTGTATGTATGTATATGTGTATGTGTGTGTATATGTGTGTGTATGTGTGTGTATGTGTGTGTGTATATGTGTATGTGTGTATGTGTGTGTGTATGTGTGCATGTGTGTGTATGTGTGCATGTGTGTGTCTGTGTATATGTGTATGTGTGTGTATATGTGTATGTGTGTATGTGTGTGTGTATGTGTGTGTGTATGTGTATGTATATGTGTATGTGTGTGTGTATATGTGTGTATGTGTATGTGTGTGTATATGTGTATGTATGTGTGTATGTGTGTGTGTATGTGTGTATGTGTGTGTGTATATGTGTATGTGTGCATGTGTGTGTGTATGTGTGCATGTGTGTGTGTGTGAATGACTTGATCTGCTCTGTCCGGCTGGGGTAGCAGCCAAATAAGAATCAGGCTGACAGGAGACGAAGGCTGTGGAGCCTTCCTTCCTCCCACCCAAGACACCCCGCTCACCCGCCCCGTAGACTGTCTCTTGGCCCTGTCCCTGTCGGGGTGCTGGTGGGGCTGAGGAGCGCCCCTGCAGATCAGGGGTTGTGACATGGGCGAGGTGGCAGGAATGGAGGCAGAAGCTGTGAGGAGGCTCCGGCTATAGGTGGAACAGAGAACAGCAGTGCAGGGGCAGCCGTGGATGGGGTCGGGCAGGCGGAGGCCAGGTGTGGTTTCCTGGGAGGTGGCTGAGATAAGAAGGAGCACTGGTACTGGGGTCACTAGACTGATTTCAGCCCCAGCTCTAGGGTCTGCCCATCCCTCCCGGGGCTTTTGAAAGACCCCAGGACCCTGTAAGACCCTCTGCAGTGAAAGGGAGAGATCCCAGAGGTGGGATGGAGACGAGGTCCCGTTGTGAGGAGCTGGCAGGGTGGCCTCACCTCTACTTCAGCTATCAGCTCCCTGTCTCCAAGAAAACCCGGCCTGCTGGGCTTCCCTGAAGCCGCCATGCCCATCTAATGGGAAATTCTCAGAGAATTCGGACGGTCCTGGGAAAGCCCATACACGTGAATCCTCCTGAAGGGTCCTCTGAGTACAGAGGGGCATCTTTCAGTTTTCCCCCGTCTTACTGGCTGTATCTCAATGCCTGCATTAATGCAGCAGGAAGGACTGAGGGAGGCTGCAGGGTGAACTGGCTGACAGGTGGTAACAGGCTAATATCCACAGGCTGCGGGCAGCAGGGACAGCCACGGCAGGTGGTTCCCTCGAGGGCTCCTGGGCACACTCCTCTCGGGATCCTCGCACTGCAGACCCTGTGGGCCGCCCCGCCACATCCTGTGCCCCGGCCCCGCGCGGGCCGCTCTCGAAGCACAGGCCAGATGTGCAAATTCTGCGGCTGTGCCTGGGGCCAAGCACAGCACGGCTTGCTTTTCTTGGAAATCATTGGTGATTTGTTAGAAAAACAGGAAACATTGGGGCTGCTGGTGTACATTCTGACTTTTTTGTTTTTGTTTTTGAACTCCTTTCATCTGTCTCAGTCTCAGGGCATTTTAAGGGTATTTCTGCTCCATTCAGCCCTTCAAGCCACCTCTGGTTACTCTTCCCTCTGCACGTATCCCCCTTTTTTCTTTCTCCCTTTTGTCTTCCACTGGCTTCCCCCCACCCAACCCCAATCACTTTGCGGGGAGGGGGCCACATTAGGGAACCATGGAAACGTGCTATGTGTCACCTCGGGCATGTGCTTCTGTGCACCTGCCTCCCCACCAACCCCACATTTATCCCCCACACCCCTCAGTCATGGTGGTTAGTGGTCAGGAAGCAAAGTGGTCTCTGCACAGTGGGACCTGCTGCAACTGGGCCAGCTGGAGGGGCTCCCACTGTCCTGCTGCTGACACACAGGGGTGACGTGGCTGTGAGCAGAAGTTGTTCTTCCCTGCTGGGTCACAGCGGACCTGGAGGGGCCCCGATTGCTTTACCCACTGGAATGCTGAGGCTGAGAGAGGAGTAGGGATGCCTTGAATAAAGAGAAGGAAGGGGTGAGGAGGTCTGGGTCCATGCTCTGGCTGAGTCCCAACCCAGCTCCTCCCTAGCTGTCTCAAAAACGCAGCAGGGGCTGAGTGCGGTGGCTCACACCTGTAATCCCAGAACTTTAGGAGGCCAGGGTGGGCGGATCACCTGAGGTTAGGAGTTTGGGAACAGACTTGCCAACATGGCAAAACCCTGTCTCTACTAAAAATACAAAAATTAGCCAGGCATGGTGGCTCATGCCTGTCATCCCAGCTATTCGGGAGGCTGAGGCAGGAGAATTGCTTGAACCCAGGAGGCAGAGGTTGCAGTGAGCTGAGATCGCACCAGTGCACTCCAGCCTGCCCAACAAGAATGAAATTTGGTCTCAAAAACAAACAAACAAACAAACAAACAAAAACAAAAAACGCAGCAGGCAGGAGGCTGGGAACTGGGGTCGTTTTGTATATGGGATCTTTAGGAAAGGCTGCTGTCTGCTGGTGCCCCTTGGTGAGTTTTCCTGGGTCCCATCTTGTCAGGGGTGAGCTCTGAGCATGGCCAGTAGTTGCTTTGGGACAGTTCTCAAGCCTTCTTGTGACAGCCCTGAACTCCATAATGTACCACTGTGGAGAGACGCCTCTCCCATTTTATGACCGAATAAACAGCCCCAGTGAGGTGAGAAGGGCAGTACCTCCCATGTGCCCAGCTGCTTGCTCTGGGGGAAGGGGGCCTTCCCTACTGGGCACTGCCCCTGGGATTCTCATTCATTTCAAGGGTTCTGACACCACACCTTCAGCCCGGCCCCCATCTCCCAGGGGAAACAGGCTTAGGGAGCTGCCCTTCTGAAGTCATACAAGAAGTCTGATATGAGCGATTAGAAACTCCCCACAGCTCTCTGGGGGTTGTTTTTAAAAGGAATTTAACTGTCCAGAGAGAGACATATAATACTAAGCTGAGATGGGGACCAGTGTGAGAACTGAAACACTATTTGGAGCTTTCCAGAAAATATGCAGATCTGAGGAATTCTGGAATAGGGAAGGGCATTAGGCAGGAAGGCGAACCCTTCACATACCAGGACTCCTGAATATGTGAACATCAACAGGCCGTGGGAGAGGGAGCTGGCACCTTCCTCTTCCTCTGGGCCGCACAGCGTCTGGGGAGCAGAGATTCTCAGCCAGGGGTCTGTGCACTTGAATGGGGAACACGCGGCCTTGTTATTTTCACTCACCTGTAACTGAAGTTCGCGTTTGAACGTAGGCAAAAAACAGTCATATCAGTAGCACCTGTAACTTGGTCACCAACAGAAATCCAGATGTTTTCGTGTCACTCTTGAGGTTGCGGATACCACAAATGTCATTTATGTTCTTTAGTACGTTTGGGTGATAGTGATTAGACACCCTGCTGGGTTTTTGTTATTTCATGTGTTAATGAGAGGAACATATGCTACCATATCATAACTCTGATTATTTAAAAATTGTTTGACCATTGTATTTCAATGTAACTCAATTCCTTTGCAATTCTGTATATTTTATTTTGTGCGTTAAAAACATTATTCTGAGGAGGGGTCTGTAGATGTCAGACTGCCAAGTGGTCCCTTGGTACAAAAAAGTTTAGGAATTCCGACTGCTGGAGCAATTAGGTAGCGAATTTCTAGGTGTTACCCGACAGCTGGGGAGGGCTTTGGTGTTCGGCAGGGCTGAACTAGCATCATTGCTCGCACTTGCTGCAGACCCTGAGAAAGTGACATTATCTCTCAGAGCCACGGTTTCCTTATGTGTGAAATAGAGATGAAGAATGACCACCTGGAAGATTGTCCCGCATGAAAGTACCTGCCTCTTCCAGCCGCTGACAGGTAGTAGGAATTCCACTGTGGGTAGTAGCTGGTAACAGTGGCACCAGCTTAGGTAAGCCCATGAGACACAAGCAGGATTCTCTCTTATTACGGAGGAGAATCTCCTCTGTATGAGTGATTAGAGACTCCAGGCTATGTTTATTTCTTACTGTCCTTCATGTAGAAAGGTCATATAAACTTGGGTCATACCTGAATACTGTCTCTCATCTTTTTCTTTTGCTCTAAACAGGCAGCTCCCAGGTATCCAATATGAATCTTGGTCCATAAATTCAAGTATTTGAGAAACAAAATTTCAAATATATACTCGAAATGCTTCAAATGTGTTTGAAAAATACTTGGTATGTCCACACAATGAAATATTACTGAGTCATAAAAAGGAGTAAGTATTGTTACATACTGTGACATGGATGAATGTAGAAAATACATGCTGAGTGAAACAAGCCAGATGCAAAAGACCACATATCATATGACTTCATTTATATGAAATGTCTAGGATAAGCAACCCCATAAAGACAAAAAAGTAGGTGAGTGGTTGCTAGAGGATAAGGGGAGGAAGAACAGAGAGTGATTGCTAATAGGTATAGGGTTTCTTTTCGGAGGGATGAAAATGTTCTGGAATTAGGTAGTTGTGATGGTCACATACTTAGTGAGTATACTAAAAAACCACTGAAGCGTATACTTTAACATGTTAAGTTTTATGTTACATGAGTTATAGCTCAAGAAAAAGGTAAAAATCACTACTAAACCCATGGACATTCAAAAGATAATAAAGGAGTATTATGAACAACTCTATCCCCACCAATTTGATAACTTAGATGGAGTAATTTTTTATTTCAATTAAAACTCATACAAATAGAAATAGATTATCTGAGTAGGCCTATATCTATTAAATAAATTGAATCAATCATTAATAATCTTTCAAAACAAAAAGTCTCAGGCCCAGATGGTTTCACTGGTGAATTCTACCAAACATTTAAAGAAAAAAATGGCTGGGCGTGGTGGCTCATGCCTGTAATCCCAGCACTTTGGGAGGTCGAGGTGGGCAGATCACCTGAGGTCAGGAGTTCAAGACCAGCCTGGCCAACATGGTGAAACCCTGTCTCTACTAAGAATACAAAAAATTACCTGGGGTGGTAGCAGGCGCCTGCAATCCCAGCTACTTGGGAGGCTGAGGCAGGAGAATTGCTTGAACCTGGGAGGCAGAAGTTGCAGTGAGCCAAGGTCATGCCATTGCACTCCAGCCTGGGCAAGAAGAGTCAAACTCTGTCTCAAAAAAAAAAAAAAAAAAAAAAAAAAAAAGGAAAGAAAAGAAAAAATGTTAGCAACTCTC